TCGCAGACATACTCGCTGCCGAAAGTATGATTGAAAATTTCATGTCGCCCTCCACTACTACTTAGAACAAATCATATCTTGGCCGGCTCTGCTCCCACTGAAATTTAACCAGAGCAATTAGAGAATCGTCGCCCTGAACCGGGTCAAGTTTGGAATTTTTGAAAAATTTACTCAAAGCATCTCGCGTTTTTCTGCCTGGCTGACCATCCACCGGTCCAGGTTCAAATCCCAGATCGGTCAATGTCTGCTGCAGAACCTTTGCTTTCAGGTTCCTGTTGGCCGACTTTAGATCGTTGCGTCCCTTTTCCGCTGCCGGAGATGTCGGATCGACCGCTGTTGCCATGGCGAGCATCCTGATCCTGTCGCGGGCAGCCGCTTCACCGGTCTGCTGACCGAGCATCCATGCCGTGTTATAGGCCCCCCAGGCATCCCCTCGCTCCGCACTCTCGCGGAACCACTTGGTAGCCTGTGCCTCGCTCTTCTCAACACCCTGACCGTTGAAATATAGCAGTCCGATTGCAGTTCCAGCTGACGGATGACCGCCTTCGTGCGCTTTTTCGAACCAGCCGAGAGCTGCCTTGTAATCCTGACTGGTTCCTTTACCGTCCCGATAAAGCGTACCCATATTGAGATATCCGTAGATATCTTCGCGCGCCGCAGATCTGTTGTAATAGTAAACGGCTCGGTCAATGTTCTCGTCAACGTGATCACCGCTCAGGTAAAATCCGCCGATCGCATTGAATGAAAAAGTGTGACCCGCTTCGACGGACTGAAGCAGTTTCTCCAGCCCCGCCTTTTCATTTTGTCCGGTGCCTTCGCCCTTGATTTCTGCCATTCCGAGAGAATGCAGCGCGTAGGCGTCGCCACGCTCGGCGGCCTTGCGATAAAGACTGACGGCTTTCTTGCGATCCCGGTCAATGCCGGCCCCAAGATAGTACATCCGGCCAAGTACCTGACCGGCGCGAACGTGACCCATCTGGTAGGCCTGTTCAAAGTAGGCGCTGGCCTTTTCAAGATCGCCGGCTGCAAAAGCACCTCTGCCGCGCTGAAACACGAACCGACCGATTTCGGGATAGGCCGCCATGGCTTCTCCGCAAACTTTGTCGACCAGTTCCGAGTCGATTTCGTTCGCAAGCCGACCTTCGGTCACCGCCTGCAAATCAAAGGGCTGTGTCGCCAGACCATCGCACTGGGTTACTCTTGGTTGAATAATCTGGGTAACCCGTTCAACCGGTTTTCCGGCTTCACCGGGCAATTCAAGTTCGAAACGCCCTGCCCTGGTCTCAGATCCTATTTGGGGGCGCACTGTCAGGGACGAAAGTCCTGACATCGGGAAACGATCCCCAGGTCCAAGCAAACGTCCGTCGGAGGAAAGCTGCAGATCGCTGTCTACAGACACAACCTTGAGCCAATCATCCGACGCCGGCAGCCCATCGACAGGAGCCTTTGGATATACCGGAACCGGTCCGACCCCGATATCTGCTTCAACGGCTCGGCCCGTGGCAGTTTCGGACAGCCATGCGACCAACGCCTCAAGGCGCTGTTCACGTTCCTTTTCCTTGTCAGCATCATCGGCATCAGCAACTGCTGTCGCCTGAACAACAGTGACGGACGCGATTGCAGATGCCGAGCCGCCCCATTCATCCTCCACTTCGTATCCGATAAGTTCAACGTCTCCAGCCCCCGATCCCGTTGGCATGAATTGCAGGCTTGCTAGTTGAACGGCACTAATCTTGTCCCCTTCACCAACTGTGCTGCCATCAGGCAGGCGCAATTCACCCTTTTCCGGGGACAGGGTAAGCGTCGCTGTAATGACCCCGCCTTCGGGCTGTACCGGTTCAGGTATGGAAAGCGCACTCGCCCCGCTTCCGACCGGTATACTTACGCGGTGGTGGGCGGTCACGATGGGTTCGGGTTTTGGAGGGACGAAATAGAAGTTCGTCACCAGTGTTGAATCTTCGTAAGGGATCTGTTGCCCGCCGGTCTTGCGCACGACCTCATCGCGAACCTTGGTCATCAGGTCCTTGATTTCGAGCGACGGATCAAGTGCGTTGCCGACAACGGATGAGGTGAACGGGCTCAGCGGCCCCTCACCGTCATAGGCCACCTGGCCAGGTCTCGTTGCATAGGAAATGAAACTGCCGAGCTTGTTCGGAATTCTCCGCAACCCGCGCGTTTTGCCGAGCGCATATTCCTCTTCACCCCAGAACAAACTGCCGATTTCAAACGGATTGTCCCTGCAGGCGTCCAACATCACGATCTGAAGGCTCGAAGCCGCTTTCATGTAGTCGAGCAGATGCGACACCTTGAGGCTTTCGAATTCCAGATCGTATTGCGTCGCCAGTTTTGCATCGACAGGCAAGATGAAGTTCGATTCACCGACCTGCAATGCGTGCCCGGAGTAGTAAAATAGAGCGGTGTCACCGTCGTTCAGCTCCCGCAGGAAGCGGCGAACGACCTGTTCCATTGCCTTCTTGTCCAGATTGATTCCGAGGGTTACGTCAAAATCCGCTTCCCGAAGCATCCTTGTGATTTCTTTGGTGTCGTTAAGCGGATTCACCAAGGGTTCTACGAACTCGTAATCCTGGTTGCCGATTACAAGCGCGACCCTTCGCCCGGGATCCTCGGCTGTGGATCCCAAAGCCGGTGTCCCGATCATCGCAAGACCGAGCGGAAAACCAACGATGCCAATTCGAACCGCCCGGTGAAAACCGACTACCGGACCTGAAATTGTGTTTCTTGCTGACCGCATCAAAGCAGACAGGTATTTCCGTTTTTGCATGTCGCCCTCAGCGCTTATTTCGGCACTGTATCTTCTCATCAGTCTTCAAATAGGTCTGTGACGCAGTTCACAATGTAACCGATCTTTCATAGGTTTGGATCGATCTAAATAAATAAAGTTACGTTCAGTTAAGTGATGCACACTTGCGTTCACTTCGCAAGAGCCAGATAGGTATTATCACGCAGCTTTTTATTGCTCCGGCCGGGTGGATCCCGCTTATTGTGCCAGCAATTTGAAAACAGGCCGAGTCGAACTACGATCAGAAACGTTTTGGATGATTCACTGGTTGGTCGAAGACACATGTCAGATATGCTCACTATCCGTCGCCTGAAAGAAAACGAGATTCACATTCTTCTTGAAATGGCAATGCAGGAAGGCTGGAATCCGGGACTTGAAGACGGCCCGGCGTTTTTTGCAGCCGATCCAAACGGTTTTCTTGCAGGTGAAATCGACGGCCAACTGATCAACGTGATTTCTGCAGTCCGGTACGGCGATACTTTCGGATTTATCGGGTTTTACATCTGCAAGCGTGAATTCAGAACAAAGGGCTACGGGCACCAGATCTGGGATCACGCACTGTCTTATCTCGGCCCAAGGTTATTAGGCCTGGATGCCGTCAACGAGCAGACCGCAAGCTACGGCGAGCACGGTTTCAGATCGACCTACAGAAATATCCGGCAGATGGGTGTCTCCGTGTGCGATATGCCGATGGACGCGCGAATTGCGCCTCTCGGCCAGGGAATTTTTCCTTCGGTCAAGGACTATGACCAACGCTTTTTCCCAGCACCGCGCCCCGAATTCCTGACGATGTGGACTGCACCCACGCTGGAGACCAGGCGTGGGTTTGTCTTTGTGGATGACGGTTCATTCAAGGGTTATGGCGTCATCCGACAGTGTCATGAAGGGTTCAAGATAGGTCCCCTGTTTGCCGATACTCCGGATATTGCCGATACATTGTTCCGTGCGCTGGCTGGCCAGGTAAAGGGTCAATTCGTGATTCTGGATACACCCGAACCCAATTCATCAGCATTGCTGCTGGCTGAAAAGTACGAATTGTCGCCGGAATTCGAAACCTATCGAATGTATCGCGGCCCGGTTCCCGATCTGCCACTGGATCAGATCTACGGCATTACGACATTCGAATTGGGTTGAAGGATCGAAGGATAGGCGTCAATGCTCGACGTTCTGGTAGGCGAGCGTTGCTCCGGCCAGATCCTCCAATGCCGCGCCAACGGACTTGAACATGGTTATGGTTGCGTCCGATTGACGGCCCGGGTGCTCTCCCCGGCAGAGTTCATAGAGGTCAGCCTTGATATCCCCGGGCGTAATCAGGCCGGACTTCAGCGGCTGAACGATGTCACCTCCTTCCGACAAGCAACCATCACGCGTATCAACATATATCTCGGCACGCTCGATAAGGTCATCGTCGCTTTCGCGCATCGTTGGCTTGAAGGCACCAACCAAATCAACGTGCGCACCGGGCTTCAGGAGATCTCCCTTGATCAAGGGCTCAGTGGACAATGTGGCCGCGCTGACGATGTCGGCCAAACCAAGAGCATCCCGAAGACTGGATGCGGCCTGAATACGAATCGGCAACTGTCCATCAAGATCATGCGCAAACTGTGCCGTCTTCTCCTGCGAACGTCCCCAGATCGTCACTTCCTCGATCGAACGGATAGCCATATGTGCCGCGATCAGGTTCGGCGCAAGACGACCGGTTCCCAGCACGAGCAAGTGTCTGGCGTCTGACCGGGCCAGATAACGGGCTGCAAGAGCTGAAGCTGCTGCGGTGCGCCGGGCGGTCAACTCGCCGCCATCTATCATGGCGAGCATTTCGCCCGTTCTGGCATCGGACAACAGATATTGTCCGTGAACGGCGGGAAGGTTTCGTTCCGAATTTCCCGGAACGACATTCACGACCTTGACCCCCGCATACCCACCCGGCACCCAGGCAGGCATGAGCAGCATGGTTCCATCCGGCTCTCCGGGTATCTTGAAATCATGATGGTGACGGGTCGGCATTGTGCAACCTGACCGGAACATTTCCGCCAGCGCATCGATCAGATCCGGATATGGAAGCGCATTGCGCGTTTGGTCTTCAGACAGGAGCAGCATAGGAGATCATTCGATTACAGTTAAAACACCGCGCGACCAAATCACAGAAGATGTGCCGGACCAAGTCGTTCAAATTGCAGAAATGCACTTTCGCCTGCAATTTTCACGATAAATCGAAGATCATCATCACATAGGCGGCAAACAGCGCCAGATGCACAGCCCCCTGAAGATAGCTGGTCGTCCGCGTACTGAAGGTCAGCAAGCTTACGAACAAGGTCAGGACAAGGAGGATAATATCCGCATATTCGAGGCCCAGTTCGAGCGTATGCCCTGTGACCCAGCTGACGACAAGCACGGCCGGTACCGTCAGACCGATTGTCGAAACAGCTGCCCCGAGGCAGATATTCACGGCTCGCTGCAACTTGTTTTCCAGTGCCGACTGCAAGCCACTCATTCCCTCGGGCATGAGCACCAGAGCGGCAACGATGAACCCGCTCAGCGCCAACGGTGCGCCAATTCCGGATATTCCGAACTCAACGTAAAGCGCGAGTTTCTTTGACAACAAGATAATGGGTATCAAGGCGCCGAACAGCCCCGCTACGTGAAACGGAATCGATCTCACCACCACACCATGATGGCCGTCTTCACCGTCGACCGCATCGGGCTGACGGAAGATATCACTATGCGTCACTGTCTGCATGGCGAGGAAAACGCCATAGAGCAAAATGGACATTATCACTTCGAAACCGGCCTGGAGCGGGGACAATTCACCTCCGGGCGCGGAATGCGTGACCCTGGGCAGCACCAGTGCGAAGATGGCCAGGGGAACAAGCACGGACAAAAACGCATTTGCCCCTTGAAGATTGTATGTCTGGTTCCCGTGCCGCAGTCCACCTGCCAGAAGGCACAGCCCGATCAGCCCGTTCAACACAATCATAATCACCGAAAACATCGTATCCCGCGCCATCGTTGGCGCTGCCTGGCCGGAAATCATGATCGCCACGATCAGTGCCACTTCAATGCCGACAACAGCCAGCGTCAGAATCAGCGTACCAAAGGGCTCACCCAAGATCGTGGCAAGGCATTCGGCGTGTCTGACAACCGAAAATGCGCACCACATGACAGTGAGGAAAAGAAGAGCAAGCAGACCGAGTGAAGGCCCTACGCCTATCGTTTCGGGATTGAGAACGTCACCTGCTGCGGTGAATGCGGCAAAGACAATGAAGCCAGTAAGGCTTGGCAATTCGTTTCTTAAGATGGACACATGACACCAGAGTGCGGGAGTTTGCAGGTTTCAGGCTTGAAACAATAAGGTGTTGACGAGAAAAACTGCAAGTCACACAAAAGCCCGGCGCAATGCACCGGGCTTTTGTTCCCAAACAGACAAACTCAGATAGCCAGATATTCCTGACGTAGCTCCGCGTTGTCGAGTACTTCCTGCGCGGTGCCGTCAAAAACAACTTCACCCATGTCGAGAATGACCGCGCGGTCGGCCAGATGCAGCGCGGCGATCGCATTCTGCTCGACGATAATGGTCGTGATGCCAAGTTCCTTGACACCTTCAAGAATGCGTTCAATTTCCTGCACGATCACCGGAGCAAGGCCTTCGTACGGTTCGTCCAGAAGGAAGAGTTTGATATCCCGGGCCAGGATCCGTGCGACCGCCAGCATCTGCTGCTCGCCGCCCGAAAGCGTGACAGCCTCCTGAAGACGGCGCTCCGCCAACCTTGGAAAGTGATCATAGATCCTGTCAATCGACCAACCTTTCGGTTCTGCGATCTGGGAGAGTTCAAGGTTCTCCTGAACCGTCAGGCCCGGAATGATCCGTCGGTCCTCGGGAACCAGACCGACGCCGACGCGTGATGCCTGATAGCTTTTCATGTCGTGAAGGGGCTGGTGATCGAGCCAGATCTCGCCATGGGTCAGGTTGGGATCATCCATGCGCGCGATTGTGCGCAAAGTTGAGGTCTTGCCCGCCCCGTTGCGCCCAAGAAGCGCCAGAATCTCTCCCTCGCGGACATCAAAGCTGACACCCTGCACGATGTAACTTTCACCATAGTAGGAGTGCAGGTCCCAGGCCGAGAAAAATGCCGGCGCCGTTCCCCGCGCTTTTTGCGGTTTCACGGACGGTGCCGTTTTTCCGGCAAACTGATCTTCGAGAATGGTCACAGGTGTGCTCCTCCCAGATAGGCTTCCTGCACGCGCGGATCACCCTTGATCTCTTCCGGCTTGCCTTCGGCGATAATCGCCCCCTGGGCCAGAACAGTTACTTTCTCGGCCAGCGAGAAAACAACATGCATGTCGTGTTCGATAACCACCTTGGTGATTCCCCGATCGCCAATCCGCTTCAACAAATCGATCGTGTTGTTCGTATCCGCGCGGGACATTCCCGCGGTCGGTTCGTCGAGCAACAGAAGCTTCGGATCTTGCGAGAGGCACATTGCGAGTTCCAGCCTCCTCTTGTCACCGCGTGACAAAGACCCTGATATGTCGTCCCTTTTTTCCACCAGGCCGACGTCCTCCAGCATATGGAGTGCCTTGTCGCGGACCTCGGCATCCTGATCCAGGCGCTTGAAGGCATGAAGCGCAAACGATCCATCCCGTTTGGCCATGGTCGGAATCATGATGTTCTCGATCAAAGACAATTCGGAGAATATTTCCGGCGTCTGAAAGACGCGGGATACACCGACCTGATTGATCTCGTAGGGTTTCATTCCCGTAAGCGATATGTCGCCGAACATCACGGTTCCAGTGTCCGGAGCAAGACGTCCGATCATGCAGTTCAGGAATGTCGACTTACCGGCGCCGTTCGGGCCGATGATGGCCTGAACGGTTCCCTCTTCTACGGAAAAGTTCACATTGTTGAGGGCTCTCAAGCCTCCGAACGATTTGTTCACGCCCTCTACGCGCAAGATTTCCATGTCTCTTGTTCCTTACTCAGCTGGGGCGGTCGCACCGCTCGGTTCGGCTTTAGAAGACGAACGTTTGAACAAACGCCCGATCCTGGAAACGCCTTCCATGATGCCTCCCGGCAGAAAAATCACGATCAGCATGAACAAGACACCGAGGGTCAAGTGCCAGCCTTCACCGACAAACAGGCCCGCAACGGAAACGACAGGATATTCCAGAAAGTCCGGCAAGAAACTGAATACTTCGTGCAGGGTCTGTTCGTTGAATGCGGAAAAGATGTTTTCGAAATACTTGATGAGCGCAGCACCGAGAATCGGACCGAGCAACGTGCCGGCTCCGCCAAGGATTGTCATCAGCACCACCTCACCCGATGCGGTCCATTGCATGCGTTCGGCACCGGCGAGCGGGTCCGTGATGCACATCAAGGCGCCAGCCAGACCTGCATACATGCCTGATATCACGAATGCGGCAAGCGTGTAGGGACGCGGATTGAGCCCCGTGTAGTTCATTCTGTTCTGATTGGTCTTGACGGCACGCAACATGATGCCGAACGGCGAGCGGAATATTCGTTGCGCAATGAAGAAACCGATCAGCAGCACAACGGCGCAGAAATAGAACCCCGCATAACCCGTCATTTCGATCCCGAACAGGTTGGAAATCAGCGGGCCGTCGGCATTGGCCGAGCTGTCGAACAACCTCGGATCGGATTCCAGGACGCGCAGACCGGTTTCACCATTGGTGATAGGTGTCAGCACGGAATAGGCCAGATTGTAGGACATCTGTGCAAAGGCAAGCGTCAGGATGGAAAAGTAGATGCCAGATCTGCGCAGGGAGACATATCCAATTGCCAGCGCAAAGACACCTGACGTCACAACCGCCAGAATGGCAGCGGGAATCGGGTTCATGCCCAGCAACTTGAAAGACCAGACGGCGGTATAGGAACCAACTCCAAGAAAGGCCGCGTGGCCGAAGGACAGATATCCGGTCAGTCCAAACAGCAAATTGAAGCCGGTGGCGAAGAGCCCGAAGATTGCAAACTTCTGAAGCAGGTCCGGATATCCGGCCCCGATCGGCGCGAGCCACACGGGCATCGTCAGAACCGCGATGGCAAATACGCCAAACAGGAGATAGTCGCGGGCAGGAGAAATTTTTGTAACCATGTTCTTAGTTCTCCATGACGCCCTTACGGCCCATCAATCCACGTGGACGCACGAGGAGGACAATCACCGCTACGAGGTAAATTATGATCTGGTCGATACCGGGAAAAATCGCCTTAACCTCGTTCATGGAAGCGAAGGACTGCAAAATTCCGAGCAAAAACCCGGCCAGGACGGCGCCGGAAAGAGAGCCCATTCCACCAACCACAACAACAACAAAACTTAGCACGAGGAAGTCCATTCCCATGTGATAGTCCGGTGGCAGGATCGGCGTATACATCACGCCTGCAAGCCCGGCGACAACCGCAGCGATGGCAAAGACGATCGTAAAACGGCGCTCGATGTTTATGCCAAGCAGTCCAACAGTGTCTCGATCTGCCATTCCCGCCCTGACAACCATTCCGAATGTCGTGAATTGCAGGAATGCAAACACTCCAGCAATCATCACTCCGGCAAATGCCAGGTAGACCATGCGCCAGTAGGGATAAACAATCACTCCCGGATCAAACCCAAACAACGCGCCGATATCGGCTGCACCGCGCACTGCAACCGGCGCGGCTTGAGGTATCGGGTTGGCGCCGTAAATCGACTTGATGATTTCCTGTAGAACGATGGCAAGGCCGAAGGTGACCAGGATTTGGTCAGCGTGCGCACGCTTGTAAAAATGCTTGATCAGGCCACGTTCCATGACGAAGCCGACGAGCAGCATCACAGGTATGGCTATCAGGATTGAAACCGGCACAGAGTAGTTCAGGATCCAGGCGCCGAAATCGCCAAGATAAGCTTCGACATAAGGGGTCCTGACTTCAAGCGGCGTTCCCCAGGCCGTGGTTTGGGTTTCATCGACCGTAACCACTTCCAGACCGAGCAGTGCATTGAAGGACACCGCACAGAATGCGCCAAGCATGAACAATGCCCCGTGGGCAAAGTTGACGACCCCCAAGGTCCCGAAAATCAGGGTCAGTCCAAGAGCAATCAGCGCGTACGCCCCGCCCTTATCCAGCCCGTTGAGCAATTGTAGAAGAATCACATCCATAGTTTCGCCGCCAGTTTCTGCACCCCTGCCACAGAAATACAACAGCCGCCGGTGGCCGGGCCTCCGGCGGCTGTTTTATTCATGGCTTTATGCGCCGTTGTTACACGCGCCGAGTTCACCACCGAGCATTTCAGCAGGATATTCAACCTGCGAACGCGGGGTAACTTCCACAACTTCGAGAACGTCGAACTGAGAGCTCGGGTTTTCCTTACCCTTCACAACCAGAACATCCTTGAAGCACTGGTGGTCTTCCGCACGATAAAGTGTCGGACCATTGCCCATGCCGTCGAACTCGAAGCCTTCCAGAGCGGCTGCCAGAGCACAAGGCTCGAAGGTACCGGCCCGCTGCGCGGCATCCGCATAGAGCAGTGCCTGACAATAGGTGGTATGGGCAGCCTGGCTCGGCGGGAAGCCGTATTCCTGGCCAAAGGACTTGACGAACGCCTTTGAGCCTTCGTCCTGCAAGGACCAGTGCCAGTTGGTGGATCCGAAGATCCCCTTGACGTTTTCACCGGCACCTTGAGCCATCAAACGGGAATACAGCGGAACAACGATCGCAAAATCCTTGCCGTTGACCTGTTTGTCCCGAAGACCGAACTGAACCGCCTGAGTCAGCGAATTCACCATGTCCTTGCCGTAGTGGTTGAGAACCAGAACGTCGGCACCGGAATTCAACACAGGCGTGATGTACTGCGAGAAGTCGCCCGCGCCAAGCGGCGTGCGGACGGCTGCTGCCGTGTTCCAGCCCATTCCTTCGGTGTATTTCTTGATCGACCCTTCCTGGGACCAACCCCAGGTGTAGTCGGCGGTCAGGTGATAGGCAGTTCGGTCGGTTCCGAATGCATTCTTCAGCACCGGAGCCAGGGCCGCGCCCGACATTTCCGTATTGAAGAAGTGGCGGAACCCGTTCTTGCGCTTGTCCTTGCCGGTCGTGTCATTGGAGTGCGTCAGACCGGCCATGAAAATGACGCCGGCTTCCTGGCAAAGAGACTGCACCGCAATCGCAACACCGGAGGACGAACCGCCCGTGATCATGACCGCACCATCTTTTTCAATCATGCGTTTTGCGGATGCGCGCGCAGCGTCAGACTTTGTCTGGGTGTCGCCCGTCACATAGGCAACCTTCTTGCCGTTCACACCATTGCCCTGCAACGCCTTTGAACTGAAGGTGTTCAGCATGCCGCCGTCGCCTTCACCGTTCAGGTGTTTCACGGCCAGTTGATAGGCACGCAGTTCGTCGGCCCCTTCGTCGGCGTAGGCGCCGGTTTGCGGGACATTGAATCCAAGAATAACTTCAGCGCCGGTCGGCTCATTCAAATACCCTGCGGACCAGACCTTGCTGGTGAAAATGGTAGGTGTTGCCAACGCGGCTCCGCCAACCGCGCCAGCGCGCAGAATTGAACGACGATTAAGGGGTTTACGAATTAAGCTCATACTTTCCTCCCAGAAAGGCACGGCACGCCCCCGTCGGACGCACCTGCGATAGCTGTACAGCCGCTCGCAATTCTGGACTGTTCCCCGACCGGGAGACCGGCTCCTCAACGCCAAAATCGCAAGCTTCGGGGACTGTAGAAAAAGTCCTTACAAATCAGCAATACGACTATCGGATCGCATCTACTTTTCGTATCATTAGACTTTCGAAGTATTCGCAGCTTCAATTCGATCTTCAATCTGCAGAAATATTGCAATGCAACATCGCTTTTTCGAAAACTAAACAATGCGTTATTCAATCGAAATTTGGCAGTGCAATATATCGACGGTCAGTTGACTGAAAATGGAAATGTCTTCAGCCACTTAGACCAAAGTTGCACGGGACCGTACCCTTCCGGTTGTATTCGTTGAATTTGACGCGTAACTGCCTGCACATTAAGTGTGCAACAACATCTCCATTCCCGCCAATTTCGACGACAGGACATTCTCATATGGCTGTAATTTCCACTCTTGATGAGCTGCATGATCACTATGGTGTCGTCGGCGAGGCCTCTCTTATCAAGGAGATTGATTCGCTGAGTCCCGCGTATCGCAAAATCGTCGAGGCATCATCGTTCTGCACCCTGGCGACGTGCGGACCGGAGGGACTGGATTGCTCGCCTCGCGGCGATGAGGGCTGTGTTGTCCGAATCCAGGACAACAAGACACTGTTGCTGCCGGACCGTCGCGGCAACAACCGCATCGATTCACTCCGAAACATCGTCCGGGACCCTCGCGTGGCATTGATGTTCATGGTGCCAGGCTGGAACAATGTTCTACGGATCAATGGCAAGGCTGTTCTATCGGTTGATCCGGCCCTCCTCCTCTCCTTCGAGCGCGAAACACACCAACCGCGCTCGGTAGTCGTTGTCACAATTGAATCTGTATATTTTCAATGCGCGCGCGCGATCATGCGGGCTGGGCTCTGGAACCCGGACAGCCAAATTTCGCAGGGCGACCTCCCCTCTGCCGGAATGATCATGCAGGAAATCAAGTCGAGTTTCGATGGCCGGAGCTACGACGCGGAATGGCCAGCACGTGCAGCTAAAAGCATGTGGTGACAAGTCTTGGAATAACGCATCCAGCGCGCCATATCTGGTCCACACACCGCAAATCGGAACAAGAGATCCCACATGACCACAAATCCGCTGCTCACAGACTGGACCACCCCGTTTGAGCTACCGCCATTCGACAATATCAAGCCGGAACACTTTGAAGAGGCCTTCGAGACGGCGATGGCTGAAGCAAAAGCGGAAAGCGATGAAATCGCGGAACAGTCGGATCGACCAGACTTCGGGAATACGATTGCCGCACTTGAAAAATCAGGTGAACGGCTGACGAAGGTGGCCCGTACCTTTTTCAACCTCACGAGTGCGGACACGAACGAGACGCTTCAACAGATCGAGCGCGACATTGCACCAAAGCTTGCCAGGCATTCGTCCGACATGCTTTTGAACGAAAAGCTCTTTGAGCGTATCGCCGAACTCTGGAACCAACGGGAAACGCTCGGCCTGAACACCGAGGACGCGAAGGTTCTGGAACGCTATCACATGATGTTCCAGCGCGCCGGTGCCGGTCTCGACGAAAACGGGAAATCCCGTATCGCCGAGATTTCGCAACGCCTAGCAACACTCGGCACACAGTTTTCCCAAAACATCCTGAGAGATGAGTCGGACTATCAGCTGGTTCTTGAGACGGAAGAAGACCGTGCGGGTCTTCCAGACTTTCTGTTGACGGCTGCGGCAGAGGCGGCACGTGAACGCGGGCATGACGGCAAACACGTCATCACGCTTTCTCGATCCAGTATCGAACCCTTCCTGCAGTTTTCAACCAACAGGAGACTGCGCGAAGAGGCTTTCAATGCATGGAGCGCACGAGGAGAACTTGAAGGAGAAACAAACAACGCTAAGATCATCACCGAAACGCTCGCGCTTCGATCTGAGAAGGCAAAACTGCTTGGTTTTGAAAATTTTGCTGCGTTCAAGCTCGACGACACGATGGCCAAAACGCCCGACAATGTACGCGACCTGTTGACAAAAGTTTGGGAACCGGCTGCCGCACAGGCGCGCGCTGAAGAACAGAAGCTTTCGAAAATGGCGGCGAATGATGGCGAGAATCACACGATTGAAGCATGGGACTGGCGTTTTTATTCCGAGAAGGTGCGCAAAGAAGAACACGACCTCGATGAAACAGAGCTGAAACCCTATCTGCAACTCGACAGCATGATACAGGCAGCCTTCGACACCGCGACACGGCTGTTTGGGGTTACATTCAGGGAACTCGACGACATTCCGGTTTATCATCCCGACGTCCGGGTCTTTGAAGTTCTGGACCCGTCCGGACAACATGTCGGTCTGTTTTTGGGTGACTATTTCGCCAGGCCTTCGAAACGTTCGGGTGCCTGGATGTCCGGCTTCCGGTCACAACACAAGCTGAACGGTAACGTTGCGCCGATCATCGTCAACGTAATGAATTTTTCCAAGGGCGCTCCTGGAGAAGCCACTTTGCTCACATTCGATGACGCCCGAACGCTCTTCCACGAGTTCGGCCATGGTTTGCACGGACTGCTTTCAGACGTGACCTACCCGATGATATCTGGAACGAGTGTTGCCCGCGATTTCGTCGAGTTGCCGTCACAACTGTACGAACATTGGCTCTCGGAACCGGAAGTCCTTTCGAAATTCGCGACACATTACAAGACCGGCGAGAAAATGCCGACGGACCTGCTGGACAAACTGCTTGCTGCCGCGAATTTCAACCAGGGTTTCGCAACTGTCGAATACACGGCATCCGCGTTGATCGATCTGGAACTGCATCTTCTGGATTCGCCGGACGAGATTGACATCGCTGCTTACGAAAAAGCGGAACTCGGCAAGATCGGAATGCCCGATGCGATCACGATGCGTCACCGGATTCCCCATTTTCAACATGTCTTTTCCGGAGATGGTTATTCAGCCGGGTACTACAGTTACATGTGGTCGGAGGTGATGGATGCCGATGCGTTTGGCGCTTTCAAGGAGGCTGGAGACATTTTTGATAAAGAGACGGCGGACCGTTTGCTGACGCATATATACTCCGCCGGAGGGCGTCCGGATCCTGAAGAAACCTACAAGGCCTTCAGAGGGCGCGCGCCGAAAATCGACGCCCTCTTGAAAAAACGCGGATTTGCGGCCTGAATATCGACCGGCCGGTGATCAACCGGCCGGTTTCAGAGATTTGGGATCGAAAAATGATAAAACCCATGGCGCCACCGCCTGAACCGACCGCAGGACTGCTGCGTTTTTGTCTCGTGTTGAGCGGCATAGCTGGAGCGGTTGGCATCGTCACGCTTGCGTTATCGGCACATTCCGGCATTTCGGCTTCGCTTGAAACTGCGGCCCAGATGCTGCTGTTTCATGCCCCGGTGTTTCTCGGCATCGGCGTTCTTTCGCAGATACGACAAGTACTGATTCTTCCCTTTACAACACTGAGCATGGCAACGGGATTGACCCTGTTTTGTGGCGACCTCATCACAAACGCCTTGTTCGGCGATGGATTGTTTCCGATGGCTGCTCCGATCGGCGGGATGCTTTTGATTGTCAGCTGGATTGCCCTGGCCCTTGGAGCGCTTCGCGTCGTGCCGCGGCAATCCTGATATCTCCGATATCCTGCTTTCAGCCTTTCAACCGCTCAGCGTGCCAGGCAACGTGGTCGCGGGCAAAAGTTGACACGAAATAGTAGGAGTGGTCGTAACCTTCCTGTAGCCGGTAGCAATGTGCCGTTTTTGTTTCGATCAGGGCGTCCGACAATGCACTGGCTTTCAACAGGTCGAAAAACTGGTCATCGGCTCCTTGGTCCACAAGCACGTCGCCGACCCATCCCTTGTCACGCAGCAGCATTGATGCGTCATGGGCTGGCCAGAGTGTTTCGTCAGCCCCCAGATAAGCGCCGAGTTGCTTCCTTCCCCAGTCAGAGTTTGCCGGATTGGAAATTGGAGCAAACGCGGAAAGCGACTGGTAGTGACCGGGATACTTCATTGCAAGCGTCAGCGCACCGTGTCCACCCATGGAGTGTCCGGTGATACCGTGGTGAACGGAAACTGCGAAATTCTCGGTGACGAGATCGCGAAGTTCGCTTGCGATATAGGTTTCCATCTGGAAATGCGGCCCCCAGGGCGCCTCGGTTGCATTGACGTAAAAACCTGCTCCTTGCCCAAGATCGTAAGCATCGTCATTGGCAATATCATCGCCACGGGGACTGGTATCGGGGAAAACAATAGCCAGACCAAACTCGGCAGCATGCGCCTGCATTCCGGCCTTGGTCATGGCGTTCTCATGCGTGCAGGTCAATCCTGAAAGATACCATAGGCACGGCACCGGTCCTTCCTGGGCCTGTGGCGGCAGATAGACGGCAAAAGTCATCTCGCAGCCACACGCGTCTGACATATGGGTGTAGACGCCCTGAACGCCGCCAAAAGCCTTGTTCTCGGAAATGGTTTTCATGAAATTCCCACCGATTTAAGAATGTGGAAGACGCCAAGGAACACGCTTGGCGTCTTGCGTTGTTTCCCTCCGCCGGTCTCCGCCGTCCCTGCAGCGGTGTAAACCGGGGGAAAGTCCAAAAAAAGATTTTCAGCCCGGAGTAATCAATAGACGACAACGGAACGGATCGACTCGCCCGCGTGCATCAGGTCGAAGCCCTTGTTGATGTCTTCGAGCGGCATCGTGTGAGTGATCATCGGATCGATCTCGACTTTCCCGTCCATGTACCAGTCGACGATCTTCGGCACGTCTGTTCGTCCCCGAGCACCTCCGAAGGCCGTTCCCCTCCAGACACGGCCGGTAACCAGCTGGAACGGGCGGGTTGCAATTTCAGCGCCTGCCGGCGCAACACCGATGATGATGCTCTCGCCCCAACCCTTGTGCGCAGCTTCAAGTGCGGTACGCATGACCTGAACGTTTCCGGTGGCATCAAATGTGTAGTCGGCACCGCCTTTGGTCAGATTGACCAGATAAGGCACCAGATCTCCTTCAACCTCGGCCGGATTGACGAAATCGGTCATGCCGAAGCGTGTCGCCATTTCAATTTTCGCAGGATTGAGGTCGACGCCAACGATCTGGTCGGCTCCTGCAAGACGCAGGCCCTGGATAACGTTGAGCCCAATGCCGCCGAGCCCGAATACGATGGCCCGCGAGCCTTGTTCGACCTTCGCGGTATTGATGACAGCACCGATCCCTGTCGTGACGCCGCAACCGATGTAGCAAACCTTGTCGAACGGCGCGTCCGGACGGATCTTCGCCAACGCAATTTCTGGCACGACCGTGTAGTTGGCGAATGTTGAGGTTCCCATGTAGTGCAGGATCGGATCTCCATCCAGCGTCGTGAAACGCGAAGACCCGTCGGGCATCAGGCCCTGCCCCTGGGTCGAGCGGATCGCCTGACAGAGGTTGGTTTTCGGATTGAGGCAATATTCGCAATTGCGGCATTCCGGCGTGTAAAGCGGAATAACATGATCGCCCGGTTTCAACGACGTGACACCAGGGCCGACTTCAACCACCACGCCGGCTCCCTCGTGCCCGAGAATTGCCGGGAAAAGACCTTCCGGATCGGCCCCCGACAAGGTGAACTCGTCGGTATGACAGATGCCGGTGGCTTTTACTTCCACCAGCACTTCGAAAGCGCGCGGTCCCTCAAGGTTTACCGTTGTGACTTCAAGCGGTTTTCCGGCGCCTACGGCTACAGCTGCACGAACTTCCATGGAAGGTTCTCCCCTGTTTGATCTTTCCGGGAGAGTTACCGCCCCATGTTTCAAATGCAAGAACCGAAACGACCTTTGTTATAGGGAATGCGCAAATCAGCAACAATTCGAGCGAAATTTTCCGGCCCAGCACGTGCAATGATATTCGGTTCGCCCGTTTTTGGTCCACTTTTTCCACCGGTTCAGATCGTACGCGACACCTATGTCGTATTCTGACAAACAAGCGACCGAAACCTGATACGCAAGTTGCGGCGCAAACATGAATATGCCCGGCAATAGACCGTCCCTGACCCCGTGGTTATGGTAGCGATCTCAAACCTCAACAAGTCAGGCAACACTCTTGCTAGATCCGCAGGAAACCGGCCTGAAACGTGCGGAGCCGCTGCTTCATGAAGCGTTATTCCTTTCTGGAACTGGCGAAAAACGCCTTTTCCGCGCACCAGAACTGGGGACGCCAGTGGCGATCACCAGAGCCAAAGGCCGAATACGATGTCGTGATCGTCGGCGCAGGCGGCCATGGCCTTGCCACCGCCTACTATCTCGCCAAGCAACACGGTATCCGCAACGTTGCGGTCATTGAGAAGGGCTGGCTCGGAGGTGGCAACACAGGTCGAAACACGACGATCGTGCGTTCGAATTATCTCTGGGAAGAAAGCGCTGCACTTTACAATCACGCGATCGGATTGTGGCAAGGACTGTCACAAGACCTGAACTACAACGTCATGTATTCGTCGCGCGGTGTCATGATGCTCGCGCACACCGTCCACGACGTCCAGGTCGCCCAACGGCATATTCATGCAAACCGGCTTGCGGGTGTGCAGAACGAATGGCTGACACCCGAACAAGCCAGGGAATATTGCCCTCCGCTCAACATTTCCAAGAACATTCGCTATCCCGTCATGGGAGCGGCTCTTCAGCGCGTCGGTGGAACGGCGCGGCACGACGCTGTTGCCTGGGGGTACGCACGCGGTGCCGACGATCTCGGTGTCGACATTATCCAGAACTGCGCGGTGACGGGCATCAAGCGCGGCCAGGATGGCGCCGTTGAAGGCGTTGAAACGTCGAAAGGCTTCATCAAGGCGAAGAAGATCGGTGTCGTGGCAGCCGGGCATACCTCGACCGTCATGGATATGGCAGGGGTCCGCATGCCGCTGGAGTCCTATCCGCTGCAGGCGCTCGTTTCCGAGCCGGTCAAGCCGGCATTCCCATGTGTGGTGATGTCCAACACCATCCATGCCTATATATCGCAATCCGACAAGGGCGAACTGGTGATCGGTGCCGGTACGGACCAGTTCATCTCCTATTCTCAGACGGGCGGCATTCACATCACCAATCACACGATTGACGCAATCTGCGAATTGTTTCCGCATTTTCGCAGAATGCGCATGCTACGCAACTGGGGTGGTATCGTGGACGTGACACCTGACAGGTCACCAATCCTGTCGAAAACTCCGGTTCCAGGACTGTACGTCAACTGCGGTTGGGGCACAGGCGGGTTCAAGGCAACACCGGGCTCAGGTCACGTCTTTGCACACACGATCGCAAAAGACGAGCCGCACCGTATCAATGCACCTTTCACCATCGACCGGTTCCGCACCGGACGTCTGATCGACGAAGCGGCTGCCGCCGCCGTCGCGCACTAAGGGGAGTTTTCATCAGATGTTGCTGGTTTATTGCCCCTACTGCGATGTCGAACGGGCGGAAACGGAGTTTTCCTGCCGTGGTCAAGCGCATATCGCCCGGCCCTCGGATCCTTCACAAACAAGCGACGAGGACTGGGTCAATTATCTCTATATGCGAGCCAACACCAAAGGCGTCTATGCCGAACGCTGGCGTCACATTCACGGCTGCGGACGTTTCTTCAATGCCGTGCGTGACACCGTCAGTGACAAGTTTCTGAAATTCTACAAGGCTGGAGAACCGATGCCGGACCTTGAAGCGCTTGCCAAGGAGGCCGGCAAATGAGCCAGCCATTCCGTACTGAAAAGGGCGGCCGGATCGAACGGGCCGAACAACTCACCTTCACTTTCGATGGCGAGGAGATGCACGGGCACAAAGGCGATACGCTCGCTTCAGCCCTGCTTGCCAACGGTGTTCATCTGGTTGGCAGGTCATTCAAGTATCACCGCCCGCGCGGGATCCTGACAGCAGGTTCCGAAGAGCCCAATGCGCTGGTCGGCATTTACCGGAACGGTGACCAGACCCCGAACTTGCGCGCGACGCAGGTGGAGCTCTACCAGGGCCTTGAAGCAACTTCACAGAACCGGTTTCCATCGCTCGGATTTGATATCGGTGCAGTCAACGACCGATTGTCGATGTTCTTTCCGGCCGGGTTCTACTACAAGACCTTCATGTGGCCGAAATCGTTCTGGGACAAGGTTTATGAACCTGTCATCCGGTCCGCAGCAGGTCTCGGAAAACCGCCCAAAAATCCGGATCACGATTTCTACGGCAACTTGTACGCTCATTGCGATGTGCTTGTTGCGGGATCAGGCCCGGCGGGCCTGACGGCGGCTCTTGCTGCCGCGGAGACAGGCGCGAAGGTGATATTGTGTGACGAACAGGCAGAATTCGGCGGCTCGTTGCTAAGTGAAGTCAACGCCAGTATCGATGGCAAATCCCCCACTGAGTGGGCCGGAGAGGCAATCGCCAAGCTCGATGCGATGGACAACGTCACTCTTCTGACAAGAACCACTGCATTCGGTTACTTCGCGCACAACTACGTCGCACTCGTTGAGCGGGTCACCGAACACCTGTCCAGCCCTGATCCGAAACTGCCGCGCGAACGGCTTTGGCAGGTCCGGGCGAAAGAGGTCGTCATTGCGTCCGGTGCCATCGAGCGTCCCATGGTCTTTCCGGAAAATGACCGTCCGGGCATCCTGCTCGCCGAAGCCGGCCGGACCTATCTCAACCGATACGGTGTCAAGGTCGGTCACAAGGTCGTTGTCACGACAGCATGTGACACGGCTTGGCAAGCCGCCTTCGATCTTGCAGACCATGGCGTCGAGATCGCCGCAATTGTCGATATGCGCGAAACACCGCCGGAAAGCCTTCTATCGATAGCAAAGGCACGGGGTATCCGGGTCGAAGCCGGTTGTGTCGTCACGGGAACGCTGGGACGCAAGCGCGTCAAGTCGGCATTGATCGGTCGATTGATGACGTCCGGCAAGGTCGCCTCGGGAGGTCAGATCGACTGTGATGCACTGCTCATGTCCGGTGGCTGGACACCGACCGTCAGCCTCTATTCCCAATCCCGCGGCAAAGTCGTCTGGAATGCAGACATGGGAGCATACGTTCCCGGCAAGTCCGTCCAGAAGGAACGCTCTACCGGAGGCGCCAAAGGCCTTTACGGCCTGCAGGCCACACTGGAAGACGGATATGCTGCCGGTGAAGAAGCTGCCAAGGCTGCCATCGGAAAATCCGCCAAAATCACCTACGCCGCTTCAAGCGGCGGCGAGGCAGGCGAAGGCGGTACCCTCGGAGCACTGCCACACGATCGCAATGCGACAAAGGTCAAGGCGTTCGTCGACTATCAGAACGACGTGACAGCCAAGGATGTGAAACTTGCCGTGCGCGAAGGAATGCAGTCCATCGAGCATATCAAACGTTACACCACAACCGGCATGGCCACTGACCAGGGCCGTCTTTCCAACATGAACGCGCTTCAAATTGCCTCTGGAGCGCTAGAAAAACCCATGACGGATGTGGGACTGACGACTTTCCGGCAACCTTATACACCGACAACTTTCGGTGTCTTTGCAGGCGTCGCACGGGGTGATTTCTTTGATCCTGTCCGCAAGACCCCGTCCCATGACTGGGTGGTGGAACATGGCGGTGTTTTTGAGGATGTAGGCCAATGGAAAAGAACCTGGTACTTCCCGAAGAGCGGTGAGGACATGCATGCCGCCGTCGCGCGCGAGTGCAAAACGGTTCGCGACAGCGTTGGTCTTTTCGACGCGTCAACCCTTGGCAAGATCGAAGTCGTTGGCCCGGACGCTGCCGAATTCCTGGAACGGATGTACACCAATCCCTGGAAGAAACTCGCGCCTGGCCGCTGCCGCTACGGCCTGCTCCTGAACGACGCCGGTTTCATCACGGACGACGGTGTCATCGGCCGCCTTGCCGAAGACAGGTTCCACGTGACGACAACGACCGGTGGTGCGCCGAACGTTTTTGCGACGATGGAAGACTATCTCCAGACGGAATGGCCTGATCTCGACGTCTGGATTACATCAACAACGGAGCAATTCGCCGTTGCAGCGGTTCAGGGACCGAAGGCACGCGAGGTTATTGCCCCATTCATAGAAGATATCGATCTTTCAAACGATGCTTTCCCGCATATGAGCGTCAAGGAAGCGACGTTCTGCGGCGTCCCCTGCCGCCTGTTCCGGATTTCGTTTACCGGTGAACTCGGTTTCGAGATCAACGTTTCGCGCCAGAATGGCACGATGATGTGGGAAACGCTGGCAAAGGAAATCGAAAAACACAATGGCACAACGTACGGCACAGAGACGATGCACGTGCTTCGTGCCGAAAAGGGTTACATCATCGTCGGACAGGACACAGACGGCACGGTAACGCCTCAGGATGCCGGGATGACCTGGGCCATCGGCAAGAAGAAGCTGGATTTTGTCGGCAAACGCGGCCTGGACAGGCCGGATCTTGTTGCCGAGAATCGCAAGCAGTTCGTCGGATTGTTCACCAAGGATCCGCAAGTGAAACTCGAGGAAGGCGCGCAGGTTACGTCGGCAGAAAATCCGGAGACCGGAACGCCTGCCGAGGGACATGTGACCTCGTCCTATTTCAGTCCTGCGCTCGGCCGAAACATTGCGCTGGCGATTGTCAAGAATGGTCACGCGCTGGACGGCAAGACACTGTACGTACCGATGCCGGACGGAAGCATTCCGGTCGAAATCACCGGACCCGTGTTTTATGACAAGGAAGGAGCACGGATCAATGTCTGACACTCTGGCAAACGATCTGATTACGCCTGACGCGGACGCTGCACCGCTCCTGAGCCAACCCGGCGTCTCTATGCTGAAGGCTGCGCCAATCGCCCGGTTGTCCCTGCGTGCAAGAAAGGCCACGCTGAAAGATGCCGGATCAGCTTTCGGAGTTGAACTTCCGGTCAAGCCGATGACCTGTAACACGGGGCAGAAGCGTGCTGTGCTCTGGATGGGGCCGGATGAATGGACGCTACTGGCACCGGCTGACGACCTGAAAGCAACCTTCGATGCTATCGAAGGCAAACTTGAGTCCCACTCTCATGCACTGGTCGATATCTCTGAAAGATCGGAGGCGGTCATCGTAAGCGGAGAAAAGGCGGTCTGGTTGCTCAATACCGGCATCTTCATCGATTTTTCGCTCGAGACCTTTCCGGTCGGCACCGTCACCCGGACGATTTTTCACAAGTCTCCCGTTAAGGTCTGGCGCACGGGCACCGATACCTTCGTCGTCGAGGCCTGGGTGTCCTTCATGGATTATGTTTCAGGTCTCCTGGTACAATCGGCACGGGAACTGGAAGCTGCCTGAGGCCGCAGTCTTCGTCCAAAGAAACACAAACCCTTGTGGGATCCTCCACAAGGGTTTTTCATTGGGCTGGTGAGCGCAGAGAAAACCCAGACCAGGGTGACTTCACGAATTCTCCCGGCAACCTATCAATCCGTTTACTTGCAAACCGTCCGCAAATCCCGCAAGTGTGGTCTGCATGCTCAAAATTGGTTCCTATAACATTCAAAAGGCCATCGGCCTGGATGCTCGCCGAAGACCGGACAGAACACTCAAGGTGATTCAGGAGTTGAATTGCGACGTTCTTGCGCTTCAGGAAGCCGACAAGCGGTTTGGACCACGCGAGAGCACTCTGGACAGGGACACCATTCTCTCGGAGACGGACTATCGACCCGTTCCATTCGCGAAGCGCGAGAAGAGCCTTGGCTGGCACGGCAATGCAATCCTTGTTCGCAACTCGATCGGGATTCTCGACTTTCGCAGACTGGATCTGCCGACGCTGGAACCGCGGGGCGCGGTAGCAGCGGACCTGGAAATCGACGGAATCAAAATCCGCGTCGCCGCGATGCACCTCAGCCTTGTCAGTCATTTCCGGAAAAAACAGATCACCTCGCTCATGCACCAATTGCATGAGCATCTGGAATATCTGCCCACGGTGCTCATCGGCGACCTGAATGAATGGCGGGACACTGCACGAAGCCTGAAGCTGTTCGAAGAAAGATATGAGGTCACGACACCCGGCAAGAGTTTTCCAAGTCCCCTGCCCGTCGGCAGCCTGGACAGGATCATTACAAGTCCTGAGTTCACCGTAAGCCAGGCAGGCGTCCACACGTCCAAGACCGCGCGTATCGCGTCTGATCATCTGCCGGTGTGGGCCCATCTCTCTCTCGGGACGGCAGGTCATCTGGCTCCAGCACCGGATGCGCACTAGGTCCAGAAATACCCCAGTATGTTGTACAAGACTGCCGCCAAAAGCGCTGCTGCCGGTACCGTCACAATCCAGGCTGCAACGATGGAAAACAGAGCCGTTCGTCGCACCAGCAGACGTCGCCTGCGTTCCTCGCGATTGCGAACAAACTTGCGTTGCCTGAGCTTTCCGCCTTCAGGAATGTACCTGTTACGATGCCACTCGCGATAGAACCCGACACCAAATACAGCGCCGACGGCAATATGAGTGGTTGAGACCGGCAGACCAAGACCTGAGGCCGTCAGAACGGTCGCTGCAGTTGCCAAAGTGATGCAGAACGCGCGTATGGGACTGAGTTTGGTGATCTTTTTTCCGACCACCGTTACGAGACGACGGCCGAACAACAGCAGGCCTGCCGAAATTCCGAATGCCCCGACAGCTGTCACCCAGATTGGTACTCGCGTTTCTTCGACACTTCCAAACCAGGTGCTCAGATCCTGAAGTTCCAGCGATTGACTTTGCACGATCGCGGCCAACGGTCCGATCGCATTTGCCACGTCATTAGCACCATGCGCAAAGGAAAGGAGGGCTGCGGTGACCATAAGTGGAATTGTAAACAGATCACGTAACGCGCGTGCGCTGTTTTCCAGGTCGTACAGTTGAGAGGCAACAATACGGCGATACCCCCACCAGATTACGAATCCAATTGCCAACGACAACGGCAATGCCAGCCAATCCGGCACCATGGATGCACGATCTGTCGCCTTGAAAAACACATATGCGGAAAAGACACCTCCAAGAGCACCAAGAAGCGCAGGTAGCCAGAAACGAGCCGCTTCCAGCTTATCGTCCACATAGAGAAGCCGCGCATTGATGAAAGCCATCAGCGCGGCGGCAACCAATCCCCCCAATACCGGTGAAATGACCCAGGTTGCGGCGATGGCAGAAAACGTCGTCCAATTGATTGCCGCAACACTGCTGGCTGCAATCCCGGCACCAACAATGCCACCGATAATCGAGTGAGTCGTGGAAACCGGTGTCCCCACATAGGTTGCAAAATTGATCCAAAGCGCGGCTGCAACCATCGCTGTCAACATCGCCTGCACAAACGAGAAACTGTCGGGAACGTCGTCCGGGCTGAATATATCCCTGGAAACCGTCGACACCACTTCGCCTCCAGCCAGCAAAGCTCCGGCGCTTTCGCAAATCGCTGCGATAACCAGCGCTCCGGTCAGACTGAGAACGCGCGCACCGACAGCCGGTCCCACATTGTTGGCGACGTCATTTGCACCGATGTTCAAGGCCATGTAGCCCGCAATGGCGCTTGCAGATGCGAGGATCAAAGCATCTGAAAGTTCAACAGATGTCACCGTGAATGCGGCAACCGCCACGCAGAGCGTCAGGAATACCAAAGCCAGGCCAAGACCGCTTAGGCGACGTCCCATTGCTTCAGCGGCATCACCGAAAAAACCGAGTCGTTCCAGATCCTTATCTATACTCTTGGTGTCTATATGCTTGTTTGACAGCAACTAAGAGACCTCATTCAACAGGGAAGATTCCAGGATAGGGAAAACGGGTGTTGAAAAGCCGTTTTCTGCACTTGGTGCACAGACTTCGCCGTATAAAAAACAACGACACGCACGCTACGCTTTGAAAGAATTATTCCGGGAAAGCTAACCGATTTCAGCTCTGTGACGCCGAAGGAAGCGCTTCAAACCGGTTTCGTCGGCCATTTCAATGGCTTCTGATACTGGAGCCCAGACACACTTTCGCTGTCCGACCTCAGGAAACTTGTTGAGTTGTTTTTCGAATTGAAGTTTGAAAACCAGGACCTTGGTTCTGATCTTCAGCCCGCTTGCCAATCCCTTGAAAGCGCGAAAACTGCCCATTGCGCGCGGGTCCGACCTTCCCACGACGCCTGCTTCCTCGTACGCTTCAATAACAGCGGTCTCGTAGGCTTTCTTGTTTTTTTCCGGCCACCCCTTGGGCAAGATCATGCGTCCGGTGTCCCGCGTGGAAACGAGAAGAACCTCGGTTTCCACCTCTCCTGGCCGAACACACAGAGCCGCGATCTGTAAACGGGCCGGCTTGACAAACAAACCGCTAAGACCCTGCAGCCACGAAACATCATGTGCCATAATTGACCTGGCGAGACTCATTTCCACACCTTTCATCGAGTGGCGCGTGTATAAAGATTTTTGATTTGTCCGTCCAGTCAAAAGTGCACAAAGTGCACTATATTGTTAACGGGCAGGCTCATGATATTCGCTCGTTTTCAACGCATATTGAAACATGACCGGCGCTCCAAGCCCCTGGCCATACTTCAGCTTTTCCATTTTTGAGGCGTCGCAGCTTTTGAATTGGAACATTCACATTCAACAAAATGTCATCGCCCAAATTTCCATTAGACGGCTTAATTTCCGCACCTATTCCGTCAAACCCGAATTCCTCTTCGCAAGGCAGGTACAGCGCGGCTCCCGAAACATTCGATTCGTTTTGTGTTGTTCCCTTGGCAGCGCCGATAACGCCGCATACCGCAACAGCGCACATGTGTTCGATCGCTCGCGCCTTGGCGCATCCATAGACCCGGTGATAGCCGGACAGTTTTTCCGTCATGGAAGGAACCAGCAACAAATCCAGTTCCTGTTTGGCCAGCAGGCTGCTGAGTGCCGGCATCTCGACATCGAGGCAAATCAGAATTGCCATCTTGAGCCCGTCAAGCTGAAAGACGGTGAGACTGTTTCCCGGTGTCAGCATCCAGGTGTCCGCGCTTTGCTCGAATGGTGTCAGGCAAAGCTTGTCCTGACGGATTTCCCTGCCATCCGCCGTAAACAGAATTGCGGTGTTGGTTATGCCGGCCGCCGACTTGACCGGCATCGTTCCAGCAAGGAGCGAGATTCCGTAATCAGTCGCCAATGGCGCAATGCGGGAGATTAGCTCAAGGCCGGTATCTGCAAGAAAAGCCATTTCCTGGTCAGGCCGCAATCCCTGCGGCTTGAAAGCCAGACAACACTCTACAAGGTATTCTGGGAGCATCAGGAGCTTTGCTCCGGAACTCTTGGCCCTTGCCATGCCCGCACCAATTTCGTCTGCAAGCGCGTCAACAGATGCCGGCGCCTTGCCGAGATTAAACGACCAGAGCGCAATGGGATAATCTGTCATAATGCCGACGGCCTTCATCAACTGGTACGACAGACATAGGAGCGCATGTCACACAATTTCAAGTGTGATAATGCGAACCTCGATCAATCGAAAAAAAGCCCCGCAAAGGCAGCCAGGACAACAAGAAGCCCTGTACCAACGGCAGAACCGTTCGGCTCCTTTGGCAAGGCCTTGAGTTTCGCGGAACGGCGAATTTGCCGTATGCCCTGCAACGCGTTGTCGGTTCGCTTGTCGATTTCCGCAAAATACGGCGAAAGCTCATTCTGAGCGCGCATGCCATTTCCCCACGATTCCTTCGTAGGGAAAAAGCTAGTTCAGGACCCTTAGATTTTGGTTAATGACCTGTTGACCGGATTTCGATCACAAGCGGCTCTTTTGAGGATCAGCAACGTCCAATATGCGCAGTTGGACTTTGGGTGTCCCCTGCCAGGTGTCGATTGAAAGGGTGCCTGTGACGTGAAGGTTCCTTCCCCGGCCCTCGAGCAGCATTTTTCCGTGCGGCTTGTCCTCGGCCTTGAAGCAGATTGCCTTCAGTGTGGTCCCATCTCCCGCTGCAACAGACGCACGAACGTGCCCCTTGCCGACAACATCCGCGAACGCGACGCGATGGGACGGAAATGCAAAAACCGGTTCTGAATGCCCGGCTCCGTATGGACCCGCTTTTTCAAGAAGTTCAAGAAGATCCAACGTCGCGCCAGTTGCCGTCAGAGCCGCGTCAACCTTGATTTCCCTTTTTGCCGTAGCAGCTTCAACATCAGATTTAAGAGTTTCGTTGAAGAATATTTCCAACGCTTCGGCTTTGTCCCTTTGCACAGTGAGGCCGGCTGCCATCGCATGGCCACCTCCCTTTTCAAGCAAACCGTTGTCAACAGCTTGCCGGACTACTTTGCCGAGATCAACTCCCGGAACAGACCGTCCGGAGCCAGTTCCTTTCCCTGTCGCGTCATAGGCAATCGCAAAGGCCGGACGTCGGTGTGCGTCCTTAAGCCGGGAGGCGATCAAGCCGACAATTCCAGGGTGCCAATCTTCTGACCCGGTCAGCAATACGGCCGGATCCCGGTCATCAATGGCTGCGACAGCCTCCGCGCCGGCCTGTTCAAGCATCAAAGCTTCCATCGCCTGACGCTCGCTGTTCAGCTGATCCAGCCTTTCAGCGATCGCACGGGCTTCATGCGGATCTTCCGTTGTAAGCAGCCTTGCACCAAGAGCTGCGTCGCCGATCCGGCCGCCGGCATTGATCCGGGGACCGACTACGAAACCAAGGTGATAGGGAGCCGGTTTGCCATTCACCCGAGCAACATCGGCAAGAGCGGTCAGTCCGTAGTTTCGCCGCTGGTGCATTACGGCAAGACCGCGTGTCACAAAGGCCCGGTTCAATCCCTGAAGCGGAACCACGTCACAAACGGTTCCAAGAGCAACAAGATCCAGTAATGCCATCAAGTCAGGCTGCGACCGATTTTCAAACGCTCCGCGCCGACGCAACTCCCGGTTCAGGCCCACCAAGAACAAGAACGTGACGCCGACCGCCGCCAGATGCCCCTGGCCGGAAAGATCGTCCTGCCGGTTCGGGTTGACGAGTGCATCAACTTCGGGAAGCGTTTCCCCGACCTGGTGATGGTCAATGACGACCACATCAAGACCAAGCTTGCGCGCCGTTTCGAAGGCGTCGAAGGACGTACTGCCGCAATCGAGCGTCACCAGCAGTTCCGCACCGTTTTGATGGAGATGTTCAATTGCGGGCCCGTTGGGGCCATATCCTTCGATAATCCGATCTGGAATGTGAATTATCGGTTCAAGTCCAAGCCATTGGATGTATTTGGCAAATATCGCCGAGGACGTTGCGCCATCGACGTCATAGTCGC